TCAGGAAACATCAACTTTCCTGCTCCTCTGATGCTGCCTGGCCTGCTGTGTTCCTCCAGCTCCACACTGTGTTATCTCTAGAATAGTCAAGCAGCTTGAAGGTCTGTCTCCAGTTGCACTGTGCTCCCTCAGCCAAGATTCCAGTCTGTCTCTCAGGATAGGGAGCAGGGGAGTTGCTGGAGACTGAAAACAACCTGGAACTGAAACTTGCCTGAAGGTCAACCTCTCCACCCTCACCTCTCAACTTGCAATTAGAGTAGAATCACATAAAAGTGGAAATGTCCTAATGCGTTGGCAATCCCTGGTCATGTCGCTGTGACAAAATAAATATTTGCAACCAGCACCAAGACCTGTGTAACAAACTACTGGTGAGACTTGGAAGCTGTCTGTTACCAAACTCTACAGAGGGAATATTGAGTTGCTTGCTTTAATTAATGGCCCAATAACACAACTGTAGAATCAGTTAAGTTTTAGAACGCGTGAGTTTTAAATGTAGAATTTTGTTAGTCCAGAGGAAATCCTTCTGTTGATTTCTGGCAAAGGGGACATCTGACCACAGTCTGTCATGTCTGATGATGTGCAACAATATTTACTCACAGTTTATGGTCTGATAAATTGAAGCCTTTATAAACCATTACTTAAATAAATTGCATCTCTCATTGTAGGATATTAATAACAGATGGTTGATATTATTCCAAAACCTCCTGCTTATTCTCTCTGAGGATTCCCATGGCTTCACATACCAGGTAACTGGCTTAGACTCATTAAACTGCAGAATATAGATCCAAGTTGTGGGCTTTCAACAATATTTTATCATTCTGATACTTTCATTGCATGGATTTAAACAAAAGTTTTGATTTTCCTGGAAAAAGAAACATGCTGTAAAAACTGAAACAAAAACAGAAATTGCTGGAAAAGCTCAGCAGGTCCGGCAGCATCTGAGAAAAGAAATCAGAGTTAACATTTCGGGTCCGACGAACCTTCCTCAGAACATATCAGCTCTGAGGAAGGGTCACCAGATCCAAAACGTTAACTCTGATTTCTTTTCACAGATGCTGCCAGACCTGCTGAGTTTTTCCAGCAATTTCTGTTTTTGTTTGATGAAGGGTCGTCGGACCCGAAATGTTAACTCTGATTTCTTTTCACAGATGCTGCCGGACCTGCTGAGCTTTTCCAGCAATTTCTGTTTCTGATTTATAGCATCCGCAGTTCTTTCGGTTTTTATACTGTAAAAGCTATTGGTCTTGCAGTCTTCTGGATAGAGTTTCAGGAATACCAAATCTCAAAGTGAACAATACAGAAGGGCCCCCTCTTGCCTGGTTGAGTGTAGCTCCAGCAAGACTTAAAAAAGTTTGGCACCATCCAGGACAAATCAGCCTGCTTGATTGGCACCACATCCATCATCTTCAACAATCACTTTGTCCACCATCAACTCACGATGACAGTAGTGTGTACGATCTACATCACCAACAGTCTTTCATCAGCATCTTCTGAACCCTTGAGCTCTACCATCCAGAAGGACAAGGGCAGCAGGTACATGGGACCACTGCCACCTTTAGATTTCCCTCCACGTTGCACGCCATCCTGACCTGGAAATATATTGTCATTCCTTCACTGTCGTAGGGTCAAAATCCTTGAACTCCCTCCCTAACAACATTGTGTGTGCACCTACACCATACAGGCCACAGCGGTTCAAGAAGGCAGCTCACCATCACCTTCTCAAGGGGAATTGGGATGGGTAATAAGTGCTGGTATAGTCAGTAACACCCACACCTTGTGAATGAATTAAAAAAAAATTTCCTGGAGGAATAGCATCTTTCACTCAACCTATGGGATATCAAAGAATGAATGGGTTAATGTAAATTGGGAAGCAAAGAGTTTCAAACAAGACTGCTAACCTTTTGAATGCTAATAGCTCCTTTGCATGGGGGGAAGGGCCTGTAAATTTGAGTAATTTATAAATGATGTAGAAAGCATGCAAGCAATCCCAATCTTCCACTTTCTGTTATAGGGTACACTCCCTTTAGCAGGGATTACAGTAAATGGCATTGACAACACCAATAACAGCTCAGAGCTGCACCATGCTTTTCAAATTACAGGTAAGTGGCAAACAGTTTAGGTTCTAAATTATCTGATTAAAATGTCATTTCTGCCTAATTATCTTTTACAACCAAATATCCTTCAATATTGATGTATGGATTTATTCGTTGAAGCTTGCAATTATCACAAGGTTTATATGGCAAGTTTCAGTTTAATGAGCAATTGGATTTTTTTAACCAGTTTTATCATTAATTTTTTCTTTCTAAATTTCTATTAACTGAGCATTTATATTTCTCCTGTTTCATTCTTTTCTTCGTTTTTCCGTCCTCACCTTTTCCCTCTCTTCTGCTGTCCTGTTTTTCATCTCCAACTCCTTTCTTCACTTCTTTTCTTCACTAAGTTCCCCCTTGCTTTCCCCTCTCTATTTCCCTTTCAATCCATCCCTCTCATCTCCTCCCCGTTCCTCACCCCTCCTGTCTTGTCTCCCCTGTTCCTCCACCCTTCTCTCCCTCGTCCTCTTCCCCGTCTCTTCTTCTCTTGCGTTCCCTTTCCCTCTCTTCCTTCTACTCCTGGCTCCATTCCTTCTTCTCTCCCACATCCCCCCTCCTCACTGTCCTCCCCCAACTCTCTTCTGCTCCTTCCACACTTGCCCCAGACAAACCAGCAGTGACCCAATAACTGGGAAACTGGAAAAATCACCCTGTTGGCCGATAGTCTAGTGCTGACCTAATTTCCTCCCATTCACTGCACCCCAAATTGCAAGGTAGATGCCAACTTCAGAACAGATCCATGAATGAACACAGATCTCAAATTCAAACCACACAATTGTTACCGGTGGTAGAAATTATGAGATTCAGATATAGTAAGAACTGCCGATGCTGGAGTCAGGGATAACACAGTGCGGAACTGAAGGAACACAGCAGGCCGGGCAGCATCAAAGGAGCAGGAAGGCTGACGTTTCGGGTCAGGACCCTTCTTCAGAAATGGGGGAGGGGTAGGGGGCTCTGAAATAAATAGAGAGAGGGAGGGGTTCGGGCTGGGGAAGGTAGGTGGATAGTGATAGGTGAGTGCAGATAGGTAGTGGTGGGGATTGGTTAGTGAGGTGGGGAGGAGCGGATAGGTGGGAGAGAAGATGGACAGGTCAAGGAGGCGGGGATAAGAGGGGATGGGGAAGGTAGGTGGGATGGTGATAGGTGAGTGCGGGTAGGCAGTGGTGGGATTATGAAATTATGAGATTATTTGTCTCTACTGATACAAGCATACTTCACTGGACCATGAATATGTTCCCTAAAAAGTACTAATTGCAGGAGCTGATAACCCACTGAAGATTTTTGAGAAATTTTGTTTAATAGCGAATGGAGCACAGGACGTTGAGAGGTGACCTTATAGAGGTTTATAAAATCATGAAGGGTATAGACAAGGTGAATGGCAGGTGTCTCTTCCCTAGGGTGAGGGATTCAAGACCAGGAGGCATTTTTTAAGGTGAGAGGAGAAAGATTTAAAAAAGATGTGAGGGCCTTTTTTTTTAATTAAACAGGGGTGGTTAATATGTGGAAAGAACTTCTGGAGGCGGTAGTAGATGTGGCTACAGTTACATTTAAAAGACATTTGGATAAGTACATGAATAAAAAATGTTTGGAGGGATATGGGCCAAGCACAGGCAGGTGAGACTAGTTTAGTTTTGGATTATGGTTGGCACGGACTGGTTGGACCCAAGGGTCTGTTTCCATGCTGTATGGCTCGATGACTCACATTGATCTCACAAATATACCTATTTTAGGGAGAATATTAGTTAACATTTAGAGAAAAATAATTTTCAACACAATTTTTTAGCTGAATACTTAAGTTTCTAAAACTTTAAATTTGTTGTTGTATTAAAATTGCTCAATTTTATCATGGAAAATTATTTTTAAAGGACAATGTTGATCAATGGAACCAATGTCCATATTCACAGAGATTTTGGGCACTGCATTCCACAGTTTGTCTTGGAAACCACAATTCTTTAGCCTTGGCTGTAGTATATTAATGATGTGAAGAGTATTTTTAAAATTATTTGGAGAAAAATAGAAACATAAAGAATTGCTTGTGGCTTAAAATTTTGCCAGCTTTCAGGGTCATCTGTTGTTAGGAACATTCCTGATGGTCATTGTAACTGGTTTCACTGTGATGCATAGCTCTGATGGACTGTGAAGAGGCTGTTTTGTTTGACGCAAACTGAAATGATAAAATGGAAAAATAAAAGTATTGCCTTTTAGCAGGACAGTTGTAGTCTGCTTGAACTAAGCAGCCTGCTTTTGTGTTGTAATATCTTTATCAAAAATTTGAGTGCGCTGTATTGGGTAATTAAGTCGAACTTATCAGTCAGTTTACATCTTGGTGTCAAAATTATTACTCCTTCAATGAGTCTTGAGTGAGGCATTGATTACATGGAGTGTTGGACACGAAAGCTTTTGCCAATAATCAGGATACTTACATTGATATTAATATCAGAGGGCAAAGGGAGATTTATTTGAAGTGAATAAATTTATCAGTGATCTAAATAGAACAAATAGGGACAATTTGTTTCCAATGGCAGAGAGCTCAATAATCACACAACATGGGTTTAACATTATTAGTTGAAGGAATAAAGGGGTTTGAGGATGTTTATTTTCACCTGGAGCATGATGGAGGTCAGGGTTTTTTTTTCCTTTATTCATTCACGGGATGAGGGGTGTCGCTGGCTAGGCAGCATTTATTGCCCATCCCTAATTGCCCAGAGGGCAGTTCAGAGTCAACCACATTGCTGTGGTTCTGGAGTCACATGTAGGTCAGACCAGGTAAGGATGGCAGTTTCCTTCCCTAAAGGACATTAGTGAACCAGATGGGTTTTTCCAACAGTTGACAATGGATTCATGGTCATCATTAGACCCTTAATTCCAGATATTTATTGAGTTCAAATTCCACCATCTGCTGTGGCAGGATTCGAACCCAGGTCCCCAGAAAATTATCTAGATCTCTGGATTAACAGTCCAGTGATAATACCACTAAGCCATCACCTCCCCCTTCAATGAGTGAAAGAGGTAGGGCACACATGTTGGCCATTCAGCCCATCATGTCTGTGCAAGACCAGTGCCTCAATGCAAAAACTTCTATTGCACCTTAAAAAACATCCATTTGGATGTGCACCTGAGGTGCTGGTTTTGCACAGACATGATGGGTTGAATGGCCATCTTTGTGTCCTAAATCTTTCTGCACCTTGAACATAGATCTTGCATAGTTATGTTTACTTTAAAATGCAACAAAGAGTGGAATTCCATTATAATGCAAATGTCAGTGCCCATAATGTGAAACCACACTACTGCTGGATTGTGTTAATAAGAAAATTGCTATTTTCTTCTGTTCTTAATTACAAAATTAAAGTTAAAATAAGATTTAATTTGTTTGGAAGCCATGAAACCTCATTCTATAAGTGAATTAAAAGTCACCATAGTCCTGCTTTTTCATTAGACAGAGATGACTGGTTGTGATTTAACCTGGGGGTCACCGTGCCTCAGGTGAGGGGAAATTATCAACCAAAGAATAGAATCCCTACAGTGTACAAGCAGGCCATTCAGCCCATTAAGTCCACAGTGACCCTCTGAAGAGCATCCCACCAAGACCCACCCCTGTAACCCCACATTCTCCATGGTTAATCCATTTAGCCTGCACTTCTCTGGACAACATAGCATGGCCAATACACCTAACCTGCACATCTTAAGACTGTGGGACGAAACTGGAGCACCCAGAGGAAACCCACGCAGACACAGGTAGAATGTGCAAACTCCCCACAGACAGTCACCCAAGAGTGGAATTGAACCTAGGTCCCTGGTGCTGAGAGGCAGCAGGGCTAACCACTGAGCGACCATGCCGGCCCAAAGGTTGAGAAGGAGTGTCCTTTATGGTAACCTCAGCTGGTGCAGGATTTGAACCCAAACATTTGGCATCAGTCCGTATCGGAGATATAAGTGAATTAGTGGTATACTGAACCACATCATACTGGACCTCCATTGTATTTGGAAGTGATGTGAGGCTAATTCGCATTGAGGTTGCTGACTTGCTCGCTGAGTCAGAAACCTCACCCACAACACGAGCTACAAATCTTTGCTAAAACCTTAAACGATTATCATTACCAGGATTCAGCTGATGGTGGAATCCAATTGAACTCTGCTTTTCCTGTTTACAGGGCTTTTGGGGCTCCTGAATGAGATTTGTGTTTTGTAATCTACCTTGGGATTCATTTACTTGTAGATTACATCCTTTTATCCGTTCAATAACTTGCTAGCAAACTTGGCAACATATCAATAATTAACTGTTTGTTTGATTCCAAACCCATTGCAAATTATGGCAAGATTGCAAAACTTTTGATTACTGAAGGAAGATAGTGTGAATTGAAGAACCCTGTATTCCAAAGACATGGATCTTAGAACAGCACTGTGAATGATCATTTCACTGCTATAGACCTTTATAGAACTGAAATGGGCCAATTTTAACATAGTCTCAGAGTAAAGGGGTAGCCATTTTAAGGCTGAGATGAGGAGAAATTCCTTCTTTGAGAGGGCTGTGAGTTTTTGCAACTCCTTGCTCCAGAGAGCTGTGGGCGTAGAGTTCTTGTGTATATTTAAGGCTGAGATAGATAGACTCTCGATCAGTAGGGGAATCAAGGATTATGGGGAAAGGGCAGGAAAGTGGGTGTGTGGAATGCTGGATCAGTCATGATCGTATAGAATGGTGAAGCAGAGTTGAGGGGCCGAATGGCCTACCCCTTTTTTCTGTTTCTAATGGAATTTTAGATTCTGTGCTGGCTCTTTGTTGGAATAATCTAAAACTAATCATGTTGTCTTCCTTCCTCTGTATAACTCTTGTGCTTTCTCTGCTTCAAGCATTTATCTCCTTGTCTCATGAAAAGCCATATCTCTGTATCACTCACATGTCTAAACATTTCATGCTCCAACAACTCACCTTGTCTAGAAACTTAGACAAGCTTCTTTTCTTACAGTCATGGTTTGGAGACCTGAGTTTTGCTGCTTGTTCCTGTGATACTCTCATACCTCTAAGGAAGTGTAAGACAGCACTTGCTTCCTCCTCCTTTAATGTCAGACAGCCTGGAGGAGACTCTCTGCTGTTGCTAAAAGGTTCAAAACTCAATTGACAAGCTATTCAACTTTTAATGAATTTACTGTGAATGAGACTGTAGTTATACTGCATGTGGAAGTCCTTTCCAGAGATAGTTTCCAATCTTTTGCTCTTAGTGAGGAGTTATAAGGCAATTAGACCATTCCCAGAACCAGGACTACTGTGCACATTATGGGGAGTAGACCAGAGAAAGGCACTAAACAAAATGGTCATTCAGAGAGCTGGTGCAGACACAGTGGACCTCATGGCCTCTTTCTGCACTGTAGTAGTTAGTGATTCCAAATTTCCTTTCCTAAACTGCCCATGCAAAAGATTAAATGGATGATCTAAAATATTCACATAGTATTCTAACTTGCTGTGAAAGGCAGATAAAGTAGAAAAGGCCTGCAAGTATTATCCACAGTAACTTGCATTTATAGTTAAAACATCTCTTAACTGACACAGCTTAACACTGAGTCTGTTAAGGAGTTATAAGGACTAAAAATGTTGGTTGAAAAGATAGGTTTAAAGCAATGCCTTAAGGGCTAAGAGACAGAGGAGGGGGAGAGGTTAGGGAGGGAATATCAGGGCTTTGGGGTGAAATGGTTCAAGATGCTAGAATGATTGGAGATGTACAAAATGTCAGAATTGGAAGAGCACGGCATTCTGCAAGTTTCAGGATTATGGAGCTACCAGAGATTTACAATTGACATGCATGTACGTGTGCTCTACCTGTCTGCAGGTCCACTGCTGCATCCCTTTACAGTTTACTGTACCACGGAGGAAGAGGTGAAGGAGTGGCTGTATTGTCTCAACAAGCAAAGACAAGTGAGCAGCAAGATTGCAGATTCCCCTCGAGCACAAATATGCACAGAACTCGATGTAAGTTTACTTTCAGCTGCCTTTTCTTATCCTTTCACAGGATGTGGGCATCGCTGGCTAAGCCAGTATTCAATCCCCAATTTGCCCTTGAGAAGATGGTGATGAGCCAGTTTGAACTGTTGCTGTCCATAAGGTGTGAAAGCTCACCCTGCTCACTGTGCTGTAATGAAGGGATTTCCAGCATTTTGATCCAAGAACACTGCACCAACAGAGATATAGCTCCAAGTCAATGTGGTTGACTCTTAACTGCCCTCTGGGCAATTAGGGATGGGCAATAAATGCTGGCCTGGCCAGTGACACCCTGACCTCATGAATGAATAAAGAAAGTCAGGATAGTTGGGCAAACATATGAGCTACGTATTCTTCTGGAAGTTACACTGAGAGAGAAAATAGACGGATGTGAGTCAAAAGGAAAAGCAGGATGGATGCTGTATCTCCTCCTGCAAACCGTTATTCTGCTTGTTCCCTTGTAAACATGTGTGAAACAGAGAAGCACTCTGCCTGTCTCTTCTTCACTGGATGGAGATGGAAATGGGGAGAGTCATTGCTTTCTGGGTTTCCACACTTTGCTGAAGATCGAATGCCAGGAGCTCAGGGAAGCAGACAGTTTCAATCATTCAGTAGAGCAACACCCATCATCCCCCCACTTGATTTTCTCTCTCTCTCTCTCTCCCTCTCCTCTCCCCCTTTCTCTCCATCAGCACGAGCTGAAGATTAATAAGGTTTAGTTAGACTGGACACTGGTAACAGACTCCAACAGCGGAGTATAAGACATATCACCACCCCATACAGGATGTGTCCTTTGCATAGATGCTGATGACACCAAGAAGAATTCATCTGCAATAGTCGAAACTTAACAGGGGCTTGTTGGTGTGCAGGAAGGGGTCAGGTGGAGTGTACACTATGCCCTTAGGTATAGTATGTATTTAAGTTGGGAAATCTGAGCTCTGCCAGGACCTATAGCTTCCTTTTCATAAAGACTGTTCCCTTCAGGCATCTTGACCTTAATTTCAGATACTGTAGAGCTCTTAGTATAAATCTTGGGGATCCACAGCTAGGATTACAGTGCATTTCATTAGTTATCCTAGTTAGGTGACTTGCAGCTATCTGAGTAAAGTGAAAAGGGCTTTGTTGTAGGCGTGTCATTGTCGGACAATCTTTTATCGTCACTATGTGATTTGTGGAATTGTGAATAGGTGCATATACCAGCTGTTTGTGAAGATTTTTATGCAATTCATACTTTTCTATAACTGCCCCTAAAGCAACAAAGGGCTGGGGTCCATCAATATGGCTTTCTTACTGTCAAGATTCAACAAGCTAAATATCTCCTCTCATTCCAACATTTCTCTGCTCTATGTGGTATTACCTTTTAATAAAACATTTAACAAATAATAATAACATTAAACAGTCATCATCTCTCTTTGAGGCCCTTTGAAGATTATTGTAGCAGGTGGAAACAAACATAACCATAAAGTAAATAAATTATTTTATTGCAATTAGTTATCCTGTGCGTAAGAGTTTTAGCTAGTTTTACACAACAAGATCCCTCAAATTGTGATGCTGTGAGTGGGAATGGTGGTGAGATGTTTGCAGCTTGCCCTTCTTTTTCATGCAGCACATTGAGTTATTTCAATACGTGCCCAGTAACAGATTGGGGTCACAGTTTAAACACTGTGGACAAAAGCACTGGCAATGCAGCATTACTTCAGCCTTGCACCAGAAGGGCACTTGGGATTAGATACTTAAGTTCTGACATGAGGGATGAACCTACAATAATTTGACTCTGAATATGAGCATGTTGAAAATCCTTCCTGCTCTGCATAACCCTGCCATCCTTATGTTAAACCTTAAAACTGGAACATATTAGGCAAACTTATTACAGCTTACATGACTCAACCCACGCCCCAGTGTTAACAGGATATTCAGTCAGTTACACATTAATCCTCAGGTTTATATTATTTACAGATTGGTACGAGAATCTAACAGATACCAATGATTGGCAATGATTGTTTATCAATGTTGGGCGTTATCTCAGCTATTGCTTACCTGGTATATTGTGTCATTTGAAGCATTCAACACAAAAGTAATTCCTTCCTGTCTGTTCATTCTTTCCTCTAGAGCTTGGTCTCTTTATTTTCCTCCTTGTTTATATATTTTATCTATTATTTTGCTGCCCTGAAGAGCTATCTCTATTAGAATGGCAGTAGGGTACCTGCAGTGAGAGTGGGAAATGTCCTGCCACTGGTCACAAT